TTGTAATAAATATCGTGGTGGGGACACAACCGAGATTGGGATGTAATTTAAGTTATATGTACCAACTTATATTATTTTAGACTATAAGGTTTGAATTTTGTGGTAAGATTAATGTATTCTCTCTTTATGAATTGAAATGTGGGCAGCTTATTGTATACTCTCTTTATGAATTGTATTTTCATTTGTTGCTAACTGTTATTGTACTAACATAAGGTTTAACTTTTGATATTTGTATGTTCTAATTTGTAGCAATCAGGCATGGGAGACTTTGATGACAGTGATAAATGCAAGGATACTCCTTCACCTAGAACACCTACAACACCCACTTATCCATACTTTCTGGGTCCATGAATACTTCACCCGGAACCTACTCCGGTGAGGCTCATTCTTTAAAGAGACCACTTTCAATTGATCTAGAAGATGAGGCTACCTCACCATGCAAACGCAAGAAGAAGGCAAATGCTAAGGGGAAAATGCAACCAAAAGTCTTGAATCAAAAAGAGAATACAAGAGGTGTGCCTAATGCTAAATGGACTTCAGAGCATGATGATGTGTTAATCCCCTTTCTTGCTCAAATGGCGAAGGATGGTCTCAAAGTTGACAAAAATTTTAAAGTGCTTGCATATCGAAGAGCTGCAGAAGAGGTCAACAGAAAGTGCTTGACTGAATACACGAAGGAGCAAGTCATGAATCATGTCAAGTGCTTGAAGGCTAAATATTTTAATATGCGCACTGTCATGAACATGAGTGGGGCTGGTTATGATCCAGAAACAAAGATAGTCACCATGGATCCAGATTATTTTGATAGGTGGACACAGGTAAATATTTATCCTAATTTAAAAAACCAAAAATCCTATTATATTACTATACTGATTATATAATATTCCATTATACAGGACAAAAAATGCAATAGCTCTAGGTTGAAGGAGTATCTGAACACTCCTCTCATTCACTATGATAACTTGTGTTGCATCGCGGGAGATGACCAAGCAAAGGGTGATCTCACCAAAGATATGACTGAAAAGCTAGGCTCTAAACAACATGTTTTAATAGCTGACGAGGAGCATGTCGATCTGTGTGATAATGAGGTTGATGTGTCCTTTACCTCACATAATGACTTCATCAACTCTCAAACCCAAAAAATGAAAAAATCAAGTGGGGTAGCTCATACTTCAAGTGGTACATCACATCATAAAAAGAAAAGTAGCAAGGCCAAAGAGGATGAGTCTCTCACGCGCGATTTCATAGAGTCCATGTCATACTCAATTCAACATCAACGCATTATACATTGGAGTGAGACAATGGCCAATGCTCTAAGGGCGCATTCCAATGAGTTTCTCGAGGATACATTGGACAAAGTGCTGATTACTTGTATGATCATGAATCCGAATCTAGGAGGTTGATCATCAAAACAAAAAATTCTCAAAAGCTATTCATAGAGAAGATTATCAACGAGCAAGGATTTGACTTATGAAAACTTGATATTGCACTACTTTTGAAGACTTTGACATATCTATTGCTTTCATAAACTCATTGTATATTTAACAACTTAATGATGTAACTAATTTTGTAAGTTGAACACTTAGTGGTGTAGCTTTATGTTATTAATTTTGTACAAGAAGATGATGGTATCTCATTATAATTTGGGTTCTTTTGCAGGTTTATGTATCCATATCTTATGATACTTGATGCAAATTATGGATGAATATGATACTTGATAGCAACCTACATTGCACGTTATGTATTGGTATGGCTATTAGGTACTTTTCAATTTGGGCAATGATGATAGTCCTATTATGAGAATGCAATCTACAATGATTTTATAATGTTTAGGTAGGGCAATCTAGGATGCCATTGCAACCTACATTGTATTTACAATGTTAGGTGAGGCAATCCATCCATGTAATTGCAATCTACATTGTAATTTCATTGTTAGATGAGGCAATCCATGTTTTTATTTTTTACCTATATCTGAGCCCCTACCTTGGTTATACATTGGATTTGGGTCATTTTTTGGTTGCTTTTGGGTGAAAAAGATTGGATTTGGGTTATTTGAGCACTGTCCTTGTTTTTTAGCTTGTTTTTAATGCACATTTGTGAGGTTTGGTTTTTCAGTTTAGGTTTGTCATTGAGCTTGGTTGCTTGTGAGCTTGTGAGCTGGTTTGTTTTCTATTGTTGCAGTTTCAGTTTTAGTTTCAGATTGGCTTTGGTTATATGAGGCAATCCATGCTTTGTGGGTTTGCTTGTGGGTTTAATTGCAGGCTTGGTCATCTGTTGGTTTGCTGCAGCTTTGTTTATTTGAGCTGCTTGCTTGTGGGTTTGCTTGTAGCCTTGGTCATTTCTTGGTTTGTTGCAGCCTTGGTTTGTTGCGGCCTTGGTTATTTGAGCACTGAGCTTGTTTTTTAGCTTGTTTTTGAGCTTGTTTTTTATGTCTTTGTGGCTGCTGTTGGGAGTTGCTGGACGTGGTTGTGCTGGTGACTTTATTCTCCTGGCTGGTCATTTGTTGGGAGTTGTTGGACGTGGTTGTGCTGGTGACTTTATGCTCCTACATCATTTGTTGCTTTGCATTGTGCTTGTGGGTTTGCTTGTGAGCTTGTGCTTTAAACTTGGTTGCAAATGGATTTTGTTGCTGGAGGTCACTGGGTTGCTACGTTTGTTGCAGTCTAATTTTTTGGTTTTGATGTTATTCTCCTCCATCATTTGTTGCTGGACGTGGTTGTGCTGGTGACTTTGACTGAGCTAACATCTATATGAGACCATGCTTTGGGCCAGATTATGTTTCAGTCTCAAAGTTTCATCTATTGTTGTGTGCTTGCTTGAAGGGTAAATACAACTGTATTTGTTTTTTATGGGGGTTAAGCTCACCAAAAATACTTATATTCACCAATTATTATTATGGATGAATATGATACTTGATAGCAACCTACATTGCACGTTATGTATTGGTATGGCTATTAGGTACTTTTCAATTTGGGCAATGATGATAGTCCTATTATGAGAATGCAATCTACAATGATTTTATAATGTTTAGGTAGGGCAATCTAGGATGCCATTGCAACCTACATTGTATTTACAATGTTAGGTGAGGCAATCCATCCATGTAATTGCAATCTACATTGTAATTTCATTGTTAGATGAGGCAATCCATGTTTTTATTTTTTACCTATATCTGAGCCCCTACCTTGGTTATACATTGGATTTGGGTCATTTTTTGGTTGCTTTTGGGTGAAAAAGATTGGATTTGGGTTATTTGAGCACTGTCCTTGTTTTTTAGCTTGTTTTTAATGCACATTTGTGAGGTTTGGTTTTTCAGTTTAGGTTTGTCATTGAGCTTGGTTGCTTGTGAGCTTGTGAGCTGGTTTGTTTTCTATTGTTGCAGTTTCAGTTTTAGTTTCAGATTGGCTTTGGTTATATGAGGCAATCCATGCTTTGTGGGTTTGCTTGTGGGTTTAATTGCAGGCTTGGTCATCTGTTGGTTTGCTGCAGCTTTGTTTATTTGAGCTGCTTGCTTGTGGGTTTGCTTGTAGCCTTGGTCATTTCTTGGTTTGTTGCAGCCTTGGTTTGTTGCGGCCTTGGTTATTTGAGCACTGAGCTTGTTTTTTAGCTTGTTTTTGAGCTTGTTTTTTATGTCTTTGTGGCTGCTGTTGGGAGTTGCTGGACGTGGTTGTGCTGGTGACTTTATTCTCCTGGCTGGTCATTTGTTGGGAGTTGTTGGACGTGGTTGTGCTGGTGACTTTATGCTCCTACATCATTTGTTGCTTTGCATTGTGCTTGTGGGTTTGCTTGTGAGCTTGTAAGTTTACTAAATATATTTTTGGTAATTGTAGGAAAATATTATTTGTGTGATGCGGGCTACACTACTATGCCTGGCTTTATCTCCCCATATCGAGGAGTGCGTTATCATTTAAACGAACACAAGGGTAGGTCAATCAATAATAGACAAGAGTTGTTCAATTTAAGACACTCATCTCTAAGGTCTAAAATTGAATCAACTTTTGGGGTATTGAAAAATCGTTTTAAAATCCTATCTGCGAAGCCACATTACCCCTTTTCAACTCAAGTTGATATAGTTATTGCATGTACTATACTTCATAACTACATCGCCATAGAAGATCCGGGAGATGAGTTGTTGCATGAGGAAAATTTCATTGAAGATGATGTTGGCGAAATAGCTAATGAGGATGAAGATGGTGTGGTTGACTTTAGTCAAACTATGACACAAAGAGAGGAAAGAGATTCAAGAAATGAGTGGAGGTTAAAGAGGGATCAAATTGCAGTTGAAATGTGGCATGATTATTGTAATAAATATCGTGGTGGGGACACAACCGAGATTGGGATGTAATTTAAGTTATATGTACCAACTTATATTATTTTAGACTATAAGGTTTGAATTTTGTGGTAAGATTAATGTATTCTCTCTTTATGAATTGAAATGTGGGCAGATTATTGTATACTCTCTTTATGAATTGTATTTTCATTTGTTGCTAATTGTTATTGTACTAACATAAGGTTTAACTTTTGATATTTGTATGTTCTAATTTGTAGCAATCAGGCATGGGAGACTTTGATGACAGTGATAAATGCAAGGATACTCCTTCACCTAGAACACCTACAACACCCCCTTATCCATACTTTCTGGGTCCTACACCACCCACTACACTACCATTCCCTCCTCCACCTTATCCATCTTACAATCCCTATGATAGGGGCTACTCATTTATGACTCAACAACCTATGTCATTTATGAATATGCTTAACAGTGGCCACCCAATTATGAATACTTCACCCGGAACCTACTCCGGTGAGGCTCATTCTTTAAAGAGACCACTTTCAATTGATCTAGAAGATGAGGCTACCTCACCATGCAAACGCAAGAAGAAGGCAAATGCTAAGGGAAAATGCAACCAAAAGTCTTGAATCAAAAAGAGAATACAAGAGGTGTGCCTAATGCTAAATGGACTTCAGAGCATGACGATGTGTTAATCCCCTTTCTTGCTCAAATGGCAAAGGATGGTCTCAAAGTTGACAAAAATTTTAAAGTGCTTGCATATCGAAGAGCTGCAGAAGAGGTCAACAGAAAGTGCTTGACTGAATACACGAAGGAGCAAGTCATGAATCATGTCAAGTGCTTGAAGGGTAAATATTTTGATATGCGCACTATCATGAACATGAGTGGGGCTAGTTATCATCCAGAAACTAAGATAGTCACCATGGATCCAGATTGTTTTGATAGGTGGATACAGGTAAATATTTATCCTAATTTAAAAAACCAAAAATCCTATTATATTACTATACTGATTATATAATATTCCATTATACAGGACAAAAAATGCAATAGCTCTAGGTTGAAGGAGTATCTGAACACTCCTCTCATTCACTATGATAACTTGTGTTGCATCGCGGGAGATGACCAAGCAAAGGGTGATCTCACCAAAGATATGACTGAAAAGCTAGGCTCTAAACAACATGTTTTAATAGCTGACGAGGAGCATGTCGATCTTAGTGATAATGAGGTTGATGTGTCCTTTACCTCACATAATGACTTCAACAACCCTCAAACCCAAAAAATGAAAAAATCAAGTGGGGTATCTCATGCTTCAAGTGGTACATCACATCATAAAAAAGAAAAGTAGCAAGGCCAAAGAGGATGAGTCTCTCACGCGCGAATTCATAGAGTCCATGTCATACTCAATTCAACATCAACGCATTATACATTGGAGTGAGACAATGGCCAATGCTCTAATGGCGCATTCCAATGAGTTTCCCGAGGATACATTGGACAAAGTGCTTGATTACTTGTATGATCATGAATCCGAATCTAGGAGGTTGATCATCAAAATAAAAAATTCTCAAAAGCTATTCATAGAGAAGATTATCCACGAGCAAGGATTCTAGGAGGTCATAATTTGGGTTTGTCTTTTAAAATACTTCATATTTCACTACTTTTGCAAACTTGACATAATACACAACTGATTTTGTAAGCTCATTGCATATTCCACTAATTTGTGATTGTAATCTGAACACTTATGGATCCAGAAACTAATTATGTATGCTGAACATGTATATAGTAATATTAGCATAATGTTTTGTTCTTTCCCACCGTCACTCTTATTTTTATCCTTAAGATACTTGGTGTTTTATAAGAAACACAAGAAGATGATGGTATCTCATTATAATTTGGGTTCTTTTGCAGGTTTATGTATCCATATCTTATGATACTTGATGCAAATTATGGATGAATATGATACTTGATAGCAACCTACATTGCACGTTATGTATTGGTATGGCTATTAGGTACTTTTCAATTTGGGCAATGATGATAGTCCTATTATGAGAATGCAATCTACAATGATTTTATAATGTTTAGGTAGGGCAATCTAGGATGCCATTGCAACCTACATTGTATTTACAATGTTAGGTGAGGCAATCCATCCATGTAATTGCAATCTACATTGTAATTTCATTGTTAGATGAGGCAATCCATTTTTTTTATTTTTTACCTATATCTGAGCCCCTACCTTGGTTATACATTGGATTTGGGTCAATTTTTGGTTGCTTTTGGGTGAAAAAGATTGGATTTGGGTTATTTGAGCACTGTCCTTGTTTTTTAGCTTGTTTATTTGAGCACTGTCCTTGGTTATTTGAGCACTGTCCTTGTTTATTTGAGCTTGGTTGTGCTGGTGACTTTATGCTCCTACATCACTTGTTGCTTTGCATTGTGCTTGTGGGTTTGCTTGTGAGCTTGTGAGCTGGTTTGTTTTCTATTGTTGCAGTTTCAGTTTTAGTTTCACATTGGATTTGGTTATATGAGGCAATCCATGCTTTGTGGGTTTGCTTGTGGGTTTAATTGCAGGCTTGGTCATCTGTTGGTTTGCTGCAGCTTTGTTTATTTGAGCTGCTTGCTTGTGGGTTTGCTTGTAGCCTTGGTCATTTCTTGGTTTGTTGCAGCCTTGGTTTGTTGCGGCCTTGGTTATTTGATCACTGAGCTTGTTTTTGAGCTTGTTTTTGATAAATTTGTGGCTGCTGTTGGGAGTTGCTGGATGTGGTTGTGCTGGTGACTTTATTCTCCTGACTGGTCATTTGTTGGGAGTTGTTGGACGTGGTTGTGCTGGTGACTTTATGCTCCTACATAATTTGTTGCTTTGCATTGTGCTTGTGGGTTTTCTTGTGAGCTTGTGCTTTAAACTTGGTTGCAAATGGATTTTGTTGCTGGAGGTCACTGATTTTGTTGCTGGAGGTCACTGGGTTGCTACGTTTGTTGCAGTCTATTTTTTTTGGTTTTGATGTTATTCTCCTCCATCATTTGTTGCTGGACGTGGTTGTGCTGGTGACTTTGACTGAGCTAACATCTATATGAGACCATGCTTTGGGCCAGATTATGTTTCAGTCTCAAAGTTTCATCTATTGTTGTGTGCTTGCTTGAAGGGTAAATACAACTGTATTTGTTTTTTATGGGGTTTAAGCTCACCAAAAATACTTATATTCACCAATTATTATTATGGATGAATATGATACTTGATAGCAACCTACATTGCACGTTATGTATTGGTATGGCTATTAGGTACTTTTCAATTTGGGCAATGATGATAGTCCTATTATGAGAATGCAATCTACAATGATTTTATAATGTTTAGGTAGGGCAATCTAGGATGCCATTGCAACCTACATTGTATTTACAATGTTAGGTGAGACAATCCATCCATGTAATTGCAATCTACATTGTAATTTCATTGTTAGATGAGGCAATCCATTTTTTTTTATTTTTTACCTATATCTGAGCCCCTACCTTGGTTATACATTGGATTTGGGTCAATTTTTGGTTGCTTTTGGGTGAAAAAGATTGGATTTGGGTTATTTGAGCACTGTCCTTGTTTTTTAGCTTGTTTATTTGAGCACTGTCCTTGGTTATTTGAGCACTGAGCTTGTTTATTTGAGCTTGGTTGTGCTGGTGACTTTATGCTCCTACATCACTTGTTGCTTTGCATTGTGCTTGTGGGTTTGCTTGTGAGCTTGTGCTTTAAACTTGGTTGCAAATGGATTTTGTTGCTGGAGGTTTTTGGGTTGCTACGTTTGTTGCAGTCTATTTTTTTGGTTTTGATGTTATTCTCCTCCATCATTTGGGTCATTTTTTGGTTGCTTTTGGGTGAAAAAGATTTTTTGGTTTTGATGTTATTCTCCTCCATCATTTGGGTCATTTTTTGGTTGCTTTTGGGTGAAAAAGATTGGATTTGGTTATATGAGGCAATCCATGCTTTGTGGGTTTGCTTGTGGGTTTAATTGCATTCTTGGTCATTTGTTGGTTTGCTGTAGTTTTGTTTATCTGAGCTTCTTGCTTGTGGGTTTGCTTGTAGCCTTGGTCATTTCTTGGTTTGTTGCAGCCTTCGTTTGTTGCGGCCTGCTTGTAGCCTTGGTCATTTCTTGGTTTGTTGCAGCCTTCGTTTGTTGCGGCCTTGGTTATTTGAGCACTGAGATTGTTTTTGAGCTTGTTTTTCTCCTCTTTGTGGCTGCTGTTGGGAGTTGCTGGACGTGGTTGTGCTGGTGACTTTATTCTCCTAGCTGGAAATCAAGTTGGGAGTTGTTGGACGTGGTTGTGCTGGTGACTTTATTCTCCTACATCATTTGTTGCTTTGCATTGTTGCTGAACGAGGTTGTGCTTGCTACAAAAGATGGCTTGGTGACGTTATTCACCTACATCATTTGTTGTTGGACGTGGTTGTGCTGGTGACTTTGACTGAGCTAACATATATATGAGACCATGCTTTGATTCGGCTTATGTTTGAGTTTCAGTTTCATCTTTTGTTCTGGACTTGCTTGAAGGGTAAATACAAGTTCATTTGTTTTTATTGGGGGTAAGCTCACCAGAAATTCTTATGTTCACCAATCACTATTTTGAGGATCCTAAATTTTGTTTGCTACAACTCTAGATTTCAAATTCTAAAATATGTAATGCTACAATTCAAGTTTGAAACAAACAAAATATTATAAGTTATGGTATTACATATCCTAAAATTTGGGTGTAACAAACAACATTTTAGAGATCCCAAAACCCACCAAAAAATTTATGGATTTCAAATCCCATGTGAAATCCATATCCATAAATTTTTGGGATTTGAAACAAACACCCCCTAAACAAATGTCGTAAATGAATCAGTTTAAATTGGAAACAATTATTTATTGGGTGAATTTAGTACTTTATTTTATTTTTCGTAATTACTCACAAATTGAACGAGGGTTACCAAATAATTAATTGAAATGGAATTTCTTATTTTTGCTCTACGGGCTATTAGGGCATCTCCAACAGCTTCTCTAAAATTTTCTCCAAAATGAGAAATCAAAAGTCATATTCTCCAAATTATTTTTACACCAACTCCAACAGCTTCCTCATTTTGAAGAATCCATTTTTTCCTCCAAAAATTTGGAGAATGCTGCAGATTTAGGGAAGCTTCCCCATTTTTTTTCCTCCAAAAATTTGGAGAATGCTGCAGATTTAGGGAAGCTTCCCCATTTTTTCTCCTCCATCCCTATTTTGGGGAATGAGATGGGGAATCTGTTGGACCAAAAAACTAACTAAATTCTCCAAAAGTGAGAAATGGGGAAGCTGTTGGAGATGCTCTAATAAGACATGTTTCGCTAGTCACGTCAAAATACACGGATCCTTTTATTCTATTTACCAACGGTTTATTTTACCAAATAAATATTCTCATATACATAACCTTTTATTGATTACTTGTCTCATTTTTTTTTTGTGACTATATATATTAAGATCACTGCATTAATATATCTCTTCTTAATGAGTTCTTCTTGGTTTTTGAATGATCCAAGCCACCTAAATTTCATTTCTCAATGGAACTAAGTTTGTACTTGGTCATCTGACAAGATCATTTTAAAACTTTGCTAAATTAGTTTTTTTGTTTTTATATCTCTAAGTATAGGTCACTTGTAAAAAAATGATTAGTGAAATGGGGCAAGGGGCAGTGAAAACGTGGCTAGATTCTGTTGGTGTGAGAGTCCCGAGGGCACGACCCTTGAAACAAGGACTAGTGATCTGTAGTCCTTGCTCTTTTTATACCACTAACTAGGTCTAAAGCCTTGAATAATCTTCTATAATGACAATGCTAGTCTACAAATTAATACTAATATACTAAAAAAAAATTACGATGTATATGTCAAAGGTGAATTTGGGTTATCTATAATAGAGGTTTTGTCAATATTTTTGATAAATTTTTTAGTGTGTTAATGATTTAATTTGGGGTAAGTTGTAGATAATCTTTCTAAATTCATACCTTCACTAGCCCCTATTGATCTCTTAACATGTTCGTTAACATTTATCATCCCTCGATCATCTCTCTCTAATTCCTGTCTTAAGGACTGATAGGTGCTAATAAACTAGTTGATATATGACATTTGCTCCGAATGTGTAAATGAGTGAGATTGTCTATAATTTATTCTTCAAATTTGAAATGTAGCTCTCGCTACGCTCTCTTGTAGATATATAATCATTTTCATTTTTTTTTTACGAATTAAATTTATTTTTTTAAATGACCGTGATAAAAAAAAAAAGTAAGAAGCTCTTCTTACTATTTAACTCTTACCAAGAGAATCCAAATCAATTGATCCCTATTCATTAAAGAACAAAGGGGATGTAGAGATTGAGTGAGGCTAGGGAGTGGAATCCACTAACAATTGCCTCAGCACCATGTGGGTTTTAGCCTCGAGATTGAGGTGAATACAGGTCTAAAGTTTAAAGTTTAAACTTTGGACAGTGATTGCTATCCTTTGGCTTTAATCTCAGTAAAACATTGGATTAGTTTATTTAATTAGTACTAGCTAGCTTTTCAATTTAAAGAAGATTAGTGCAGAGAGGGCACATGCATTTTGTGCAGAGGATGGGTGAAAAATAAATTAGCTACTAACGTTTTTAATGTCAATGGTTGTGAATTGATGCTAACATGGTGTATGATCTAGTGATGCGTGTAAGTTGGGTGGATATGGATTTAATGTATTGGCTAGTTGAATTCTGATTTTGAATAAAAATAATAATGTTAGAGGCACACCACCCACCACAACCTCAACCACACTCCCCCCTCTCAATGCTACAGTAAACTGGGCCCCACATGGGATTTTAAATTTTTTAAAATCTCATGTGGGGCCTGGTTTACTGTAGCATTGAGAGGGGGGAGTGTGGTTAGGGTTGTGGTGGGTGGTGTGCCCCTAACACCACTCGAATAAAAATTAAGTTTACAATTTGAAGAGAGAATTATGTGACCCCATGCCTATATGATATAAAAAAGTAATTACACTTCCACATTTTCTCATGAAAAATGTGGAAAACAAAAGTTTTCAAATTGAGCAGAATTATGGACGATTTATGTTATTTTTAGTAACAAAGACTAAACAACAGATGCCCAACTTGAATATATGACTTTTTTTTAAGAATAACATATTAAAGATTTTGATTTAAACTATACCGCATTGAGTTTGATGTAGAGTAAAATACTTTTATTGCCGGGACATTTGGAAATAAGTGAAACGATATTTATAGGATAAGTTGATGAGAATTTGTAAAATATAAGCTTATTTATTCATCAACTATGTAATTCTTCCAGAGTGTAATAGGGATTTAGGCCTCATATTATGCAATTTTTCTCTACTTGTTTTAAATTTCATGTCAGTTTCTCGTCAGGATATTTATGGGCTATTGGTGATTTCGATCTATTTGCATCAATGGTGCATCGAAAAATATTTATTACTGCATCAGCTACTATCTCCAAGTCCTTGAATTTAAGAACGGATATCACGTTGATACAAGGTTAACACAGAGAATCAAGACCGTCAATCGAGCAATTCAGATGCAGGGAAATGGAGATATATAAGCAAATGCAATACAAGATTAACACAGTGAATTAGGATCATCAATAAGGGCAATTTGAATGCTAATATATCTGTAGATATCCCTATCTCTTTTGCATCTGTAATTTAAAAAAAACACAATTTTTACCATAAATAATCCAAACAGTAATTAATTTTTGTATATATGCAGCGCTTTCTGCGTAATTACACCATATCAACTATGAATAATGATGACGATCCTAAGAGTTTGTTTGGCAAACTCTTAAATTTAGGTCAAGACTGAACCGAACCGAACCTAACCTAATTTTGAATTAATTTGTGATTTATAAAAGCTGGACCAGTTCTAACACGGTTCTTTTTAGACTTAAAAAATAGGCCTTAAAACCA